TATATATAGTCTCTTTGTATTTAGGTTTTCATCATTCAATTACATTATGCAGAATCAATAAAACCCTAGCCTCTTTTTCTTTTCTCTTTGGATTGTTTAAGAAGCCTATCATCTAGCACCACCTAAACTGAGATTGTAATTCCAATGGGTCTACATAGCATTACTCATTTTCTAAAGGAAAAATTGCAGCTGTGGTCCCAAACCTTTTCGTTTTTTGCAAACTTTATCTCAACCTTCACTATGTGCCACCACAGATCCCAAACCTTTGAGAAATTCTCACCGAAGGACCATCTAGACAGAAACCATCCAAATCACCGTTAGTCAACCGGGAAAATTAAAAAATGAGATATTTTGACCATTTTAAGGAGGGACATTTCCGAATAAAAGAAAAAAATCACCGTCTTCTTCAAACACCCCACCCCCACCCTTCCCCATTCAGGGAAGTTTCATTGAGATTGGGACTGTCAAAAGCAAGAATTCAAATTCGAAAAAGAAATTTGCGGAAGTTGGAGATTATGGGAAGAGGATACGAGCTTCGTTTTGGGAGACCTTGAAGTCATATGGCAGTGAACCACCAGAGAACTGGTCGCCTCCTCCACCTACATCTGGAAATGGGCTTTCAGTGCATACACCACCTGACCTCCTTTTGCCCCTGGCGTCAATCTTATTCGGGCATCAGGTAATGGGGGCAATGGTGGCAGTGGAAAATTGAACTCGTCAAAAAGGAAAATGGATGCGCCTTGTTGAGGAGGTTTGAGAGTGGGTGGTCCGCGATCTTGACTTCCACCGTCGGCGCCGGAAAATGGTTTAGAAAGCTGCGTTCTCGCTAGGTTCGAAAAATGGACCTGTAGATTCTGATTTGTTACATTATTTGACGTTAGAAGACCATGGACAGGGGTGCCCCAACGACTAGAATCCACTTGTGACATGGGTATCACCGGAGGAGGCTGTGCCGCCAATATTCATGAACGCGAGTAGGTGGTTTTGAGGTGTAAATCTGGTCAATTTAGGAAGCGTTGATGCCTGATGTTGGGTGGTTTGAGTAGAGGGCAATGAGAGCTTTCTAGTGGTATAATTGTCTGGTGGTTTGGGTTGTAGTTGGCCGGAGTAGAGTGATTGGCGGAGGACGGTGGGGGTGGCGAGTCGGAGTGGTGGGTGGGGTGAAGAAGAGAGATAATGAACAAATTTTTTTGTTTTATTTTTATTTTGATTTTTTTGTTTGTTTATTTAAT